GAGTAATTTTGCAGTTTGTAAGTAATGCGATATTATCGCTTTAACGAAAACTTGGTCAATTTCCTAAAGAAGTTCTAAACTTACCTGTTAACCAATAAAGAATCTATTCTTTCTATTGATTCCCCAAATTAGTTGTGATAGCTGGGATGCGCTGTGGAACGTCAGAGGACATGACGTTGACGAAACCGGTATAGGAGCGGAGTGCGATGGGGCGCATACGCGCGCGATCAGCTGCGATCGCCGTTGTCGATCGCGCGACGATCATCTTATCGTCGTTGTGTCGACGTCGTCTACGCCTCTTGTACGCCTCACGAACTGACCGTCACGTACGTCACGTCATATCAAAAGCGATGTGGTTTCTTCTTCTTAAATCTCTTCTGCTGCTGAATCTTCTCGGCGAGATTGCTGGTGAGTGCAAATTTTAGAACTAAATTCCCCTAAAAACACCTGAAGATCCACTGTTGAACACTTTGGAAATTTTGCAAATTACCATTTCTATAGCCTCTCTTGTTATATTTGAATCATACCGTTTCCACATTATCGTAATTCTGCGTTTATACTTCCTCCAGCCACTATGACACCTTGAAAACATGTTCCTTCAAGACCTAACGTGTGACGTACGTATCCCATAGTTGAAAGACCAGATATATAAGTTAAAAAAAGACTTAATCAAAGCTGAAACATGTCCTGTCATGTTCACACAAATCGGACATTTGTCACTATTAGAGTTTTAAAAAGATAAAAATCCAATTCGATAGGTGATTTATGTCAATGTCGTTCTGTTTGCGCGGTTTCGTCAAAAGTAGAGTTATTAGCTAACAATGAAGAATTTTTTTGGAACAATGGAAGTTTCAGAAACTATCTGCATAAAAATAAGAACCTGCTGTTTATATAAACATAATCAATAATGCTGATGAGAAAATTTCCTAAAATTATGCAACAACCACTCTAAAACTGAATGTTCTTAGGAAAATGCTCATAATCCATTCTTTTTCGCCCATTCCTTTGAACGAAGCGAAATTAGAAGATTCTTATGTTTACAACTAATCTTAACATTTATCAATTTTCCAATCGATGTTATTTTTATTCCAAAACATCGCCAACAAGTGCCAACCTATCAACATATAAAAATCAATCTTTTGCATCATCGTTATGCCCTTGGTATTTTCTGGTTTTGGAATGTTGTAATTGTTACTTGATGAGACGATTATGAATCCAACATTCATACTGTAGATGCCAGGGATACACTGGGACATTTAATGTTTAGTAATTAGAGGAAATGTCTCCGCGTACCTCATTGATAGTCTCGCCCTCCTGGCATCAATCTATTGTCGTCTTGTACATTAAT